TTGGACAAGCTGTTTGTCACAAATGATGCTGCTACTATTGTAAATGAGCTTGAGATTCAACACCCTGCTGCCAAGATATTGGTTCTGGCAGGCAAGGCTCAACAGGAAGAAATTGGTGATGGTGCTAATTTGACTATTTCATTTGCTGGAGAGCTCCTCCAAAATGCAGAGGAGCTAATTAGGACTGGCCTGCACCCAAGTGAGATCATCAGTGGATATACCAAAGCTATTAACAAGGTTTCCTCAATGCATTGCCAAGTGGATGGAATGGAAAGATAATTCTCAACCTTTTTGGATATATTAAACCGTTCTAATACCTATTTCCAATATTTGCAGACTGTTGAGATTTTAGGTGAGCTAGTAGAGAAAGGTTCAGAAAGTATGGATGTCAGGGTTAAGGAGCAAGTTATCACCAGAATGAAAGCTGCTGTTGCTAGCAAGCAATTTGGACAAGAAGATGTTTTATGTTCCCTTATAGCTGATGTAATATTAATTGACTATCCTATTTGTTTTTTCCAGTGAGTAGTTATTTTATTAGCTCCTTGTCTAATTGTGGCAACCATTTTCTTCCCCCCTTTTGTACTGAAGGCATGTATCCAAGTTTGCCCCAAGAACCCAGCAAATTTTGATGTTGATAATGTGCGTGTTGCAAAGCTCTTGGGAGGAGGTCTGCATAACAGCACAATAGTTCAGGGTATGGTTTTGAAAAACGATGCAGTGGGAAGTATAAAGCGAATTGAGAAGGCAAAGGTCTGGGGTTTATTTTTCTATTTATTTCATGTTTGTCAAATTGTTATTGAAAGGTTGGATTTCTTGTTAGTCCTCAAATCTCTAACATGTATGTGTGCATTGCCCTTTTTCAGGTAGCTGTGTTTGTTAGTGGTGTTGATACCTCAGCTACTGAAACAAAAGGAACTGTCTTAATCCACAGTGCTGAACAGGTACGGCTTAAGCAGGTCCTCAGATTTTTGCAAAAGCATATCTCTTCCCTTGTACACTTCACTGAATTCATTATGAAATATTCCCTTGTAAAATTGTTTGGTGGATGGAGTGCTTTTTTAAGTAGATGCCATCATCCTTTCATTCCTATGGTTGTCTACCAGTCTTCATGCATGGTTTCCCAATCCTCAATACCAGATAATGTTATGCCTTAACTGTCTCTCTCACTTTATTTCCAAATGCTTTTCCATGTCTTTTTCTGAAAGTTTTCATAATGCTTCTTTTACTAATTTGATGCTAAAACTTGAAAGGTTAACATGGTGTCATATTGCAGCTAGAGAATTATGCAAAAACTGAGGAGGCTAAGGTTGAGGAGCTCATCAAAGCAGTGGCTGATTCTGGTGCCAAAGTTATTGTTAGTGGTGGAGCAGTTGGTGAAATGGCGTTGCATTTCTGTGAGCGTTACAAGTATATCAACCTACCTAGTTCTTTTTTTCATTTCCCTAATAATTCTGTACATTGTTCTTTCTTGTCTTCATCAGAATCAGATGCAAGCTTATTTAAAGGATTTTGATAGTTGATGGCCAAAAAAAAAAGTTTGATACAATATTTTTGATATTTGTAAATGTTTTTGTCTTGATCCTTCATAGCTTTGGCTTCTAATTTTGAAGTTTCTCCTTGCAGGCTAATGGTCTTAAAAATCAGCTCAAAGTTTGAACTGCGACGATTTTGCCGCACAACTGGTGCTGTTGCTCTTGTAAGCACATTATTTCTAGGTTATGTTAGGAACTGTATATTTTGCTCTCTAACATACCTTAATTCTTCCAACAGTTGAAACTCAGCCAACCAAATCCAGATGACCTGGGATATGTTGATTCAGTTTCGGTTGAGGAAATTGGTGGAGTTCGGGTAGGTTGATGAACTTACTTTGGTCGCATCATCTTCATTTCAATTTTTTTTGTGTAGGTTTTACTTGTCTTTCTTTTAACTGTAGGTCACTATTGTACAAAGTGAAGAAGGTGGAAACAGAGTTTCTACTGTGGTTCTTCGAGGAAGTACTGATAGTATATTAGATGATCTTGAGAGAGCCGTTGATGATGGAGTGAATACGTATAAGGTGATTCTGTTTAATAATTTTTTTTCTTCTTTTTCTTCCAACCAGTTTGTAGTAGTTTATCTTTATAAACCTTGTCACGTTTTGTTTTAGTTGGCCTTTGGAAAGGTTAATTGTGTTCTTTTTATATGCAAATTTCATTGGCAGCTGTATAACTGCTCTGTATATCATTCTTTTTCCTTTGGGTGATCAGGCAATGTGCAGAGATAGTCGTGTGGTACCTGGAGCTGCAGCTACTGAAATTGAGTTGGCTAGGACATTGAAAGAGTTTTCTTTTAAAGAAACAGGGTAATACTTGCACGGCATTATTTATTTTATATGTTTTCCTTGATAACTACCAAATCTGCATGGCCACCATGTCATCTAGACAAAGGCAGACCATTTTATCTTATACATTTTGAAGCACTTATTTCATTTATATTTCACATTTTCTGAAATGTTAGTTCTTGCTGTTAACTGTATGAAGATAGTTTTCCCCTTGGGGACAATTGGAATTAGGAAGGTTGGTTATTAACCTAACTTTTACAAACTTTTTGCAGATTAGATCAGTATGCTATTGCTAAATTTGCTGAAAGTTTTGAAATGATACCAAGAACACTGGCAGAGAATGCTGGGCTGAATGCTATGGATATCATATCAAAGCTGTATGAACAACATGCATCTGGAAATGCCAAAGTGGGTGTTGACTTGGAGGCTGGTGAGACAGGTGAAGATGTTTGTAAGGATGTATCAGCCATGAATGTTTGGGATCTCTATGTCACTAAGTAAGCTCCTTTAATCTCATGAATTCTTATTCTTTCTCTCTTGGAAATAAACTGATATTTTCTTACCGGCCTTCCCATAGGCCCATTGGCCAAGTACTTGAACTTAAGCATTTGAGTTCAAGTGTTATGAGTCATGGGTCTTGGGTTCAAGGACTGGTAAGAGAAACAAAAAAACTGATATTTTCTTGAGTTTGGATATGATGCTTATACATTGGGATCATGCTTCTTATTTCATGTAAATGAGGCCATCATAGATGCCAAAGATGGTAATTGCATTTGTGTGAAGTTTATGATAAATTGTTAGATCTGGTTATTGTTTAGAGAAATTTGAACTTTACTAATTCTTCAACTGTTTTAACTTTTTTCCATTTTTCAAAATATTCTTTTGTCCTTTTTGGACTGTGAGATGTGGTAGTGGGTTTCATATGTTGAGCAATGTGAGATGCCATAGGTGAGCCTCACAGTTGCCTTCAGAGAGTTTTGCTTGCGCTGATTTTCTAATGTTGGATGATGCTCTTCTTTGACTGATAGGGGATTACTTAACTGTTTGTATCTTGCAATGACTGGATATTGAAATTTCAGTGGTCCAAATAAGGCTAGAGATGGATCAACCCACCCCCCCTTTTTTTTGGGGTGGGGGTGAACTTTTTTCAATCAATTTGTGTACAGCAACCTCTCACCTTTCTAGGTACTAGGCAAATTGATCAGTTTTGTGGTAGCCCTTTACAATGACTGAATCAGTTTTGTCATGATTATGAAAGCGCACCGCACCATAATGGTCATGGCTACTATAATCAGAAAAGTCATTCTAGTAACAAACTAACAATGGTCAACAGAAAGGTTAAAATCATGTCAATGTTTTACTTACAGCAATCTCTGGAGTTCTAAACTCTGATGAACTAAAGTGTGACCACTGCATATATAGGCATTGAAATTTTGTTCAAAATAATTTATTTGTCTTTTCCTACAGGTTTTTTGCTCTTAAATATGCTGCAGATGCTGCTTGCACTGTCTTACGAGTAGACCAGGTAATTCAGCAGAAAGAAGCCTAATGACAACAAAGCAATTGCAATGTGTTAAATTTAGATTCAAACAATTTTTTTGAAAATCTTTTAACGTGAATTAGATGATGATTTCTGGTGTTCAAAATGCAGATTATAATGGCAAAACCAGCTGGTGGTCCGAAGAGAGAGCAACCTGCAGGAATGGATGAGGACTAGCCTCTGCACTGAAATCGATCAATTATCTCCATGTTGTATCTCACTGAGCTGGTTTCTGAGCTTGTTTAGGCATCTTTCTTTTTAGGCATCTCGTGTTTTCTTTTGGATGCCGAAAAACTTTGGCTTGGGAAATTTTGTTTCATATTTTAAAAAGAAAAATGGTTTTGTACTTTGTTCTACCATTACTTAAATCTCTTCATTGGCTGTAATCCTCAACTGACAATCTGATGAATTAATTACTTATTGCCTCTGAGCAGCTGGCAGTTGGTTTGTTCATATTTAGGTATCCAATTTAAGAGCTAGCTTATTCTTTTCTGTGGTTTCCCAGGATTCTGTGGTTTCCCAGGAACATCTTTGTTTAACTTGAAAAGAAATGAGGAAAAGAAGGAAAGAATGTAGCTATTCTGAATATATATATCCAGAGTGAAATTTTTTGGGTTTGGCTAAAAGTGTTAAGCAGGTAAAATGTGAGATTTCCCTTTCAAGTTTCAACCCAAACTGCAGGGATGAAAAAGGTGCAAATATGAAGACAAAATACAAATCCAAGATAAGAGCATGTACAGAGGTTTGCCCCATTAGAGGAGCAAGAGAGGAGTTCTAAAATGATAAATGAGTTCCTAAAATGAAAAATGTTTTCTGCATGAAACAAACTTACTTTCATTATTTTAATATTTTAAAATAATAAAATATTTGAAAATAACAAACTTACACCTTTAACAAGTAACATTTCTCTTTTTGTTTTTAAAATTTTTAATTCAA